GAGTCGGGTATTGGCATGAAATAATCGTTTTTGTTTAATAATTGTTGGGTAAGTTTAGTGCATGGTGAGACAGTAGATATGTTGTCAAGTATCATTTTGGTTTGCTGGGATATGTGATGGGGTGAATTTTGCTGTTGGTTGTAGTTTATGTTTTGATTGAGTGATTTTGTTGTTGTTTTGTTAGTATTATTGTTAAAGCTATTGCTTTGGAGTGGTTTTTGCGTTTTTTGTAGTTTTGGTAGATTCGTTTTTGTTGGTGGAGATGTAACCGGACGTTTAGCCATGGACGTACTTGTTTGGGTTGGTGATGATGGTGCTATGTTGATAGGTGTTGATTTACCTGTTATGGTGACGTTTGCATACGTGCTTTTGGAGTTTGCATTTGGAGTGTTAGTTTCGTTGTATTTGCGCCGTGCTTCTCCCATGGAGCATTTAGCTATGGTTTTAATTTTTAGTATTTCCTGAGTCTGCTTAAATCAGGCGTGATCGCTACCACAGTTTGCACATTGCTTACGTGTGCAGTCAGCTGGAGAATGGGGTGGAAGATTGCAGCCCTCGCATGTGGCAGGACTGGTGCAGCGTGTTTTGGTATGCCCTATCACCTGGCAATTTTTGCAGCGCATGGGTGTTGGATAATATGGCGAAACTTTGACTTTCAATAACTTTCTTGGTATTTTACCGTGACTTGACAAAGATTAGCAATCGTTTTTAGTTTTAAGTATTTCTCTGCTATTCTTGAGTTCCGTGTTAGTATAAGTAGTGAACCGTCTTTGAGTTGTTTTATGTTTTCTATTTGAGTTTATACTCCGTCTATTGCTCTTTTTATTACGAATGGGCTTAGTTTTTGTAGTTCATTTTTGGCTGCTGTAATTGTTATGTATTTGGGTTGGTTAAGTGGTGTTTGTTTATGTGTAAGTGTGGGAAATGAGTAATCGATGTTATAGTCGTCAAATTGGCTTAGTATTGCGAATCTGTCTGTTGATTTGTCAGGTGGCTCTGGTTGTGTTGGCATTTTGTTGTTATGTTGTAGCGGTTCCTTGTTTACAAAGTGGTTGTTATAGCCTGATGCTCCACTAAAGTGCACAAAAGCGAAAATATGACAACGGGTTATTTAGTATTGTTATTACGCGAGCTAAGAACACTTTTATAAATACACGTCCGAATAGTTTGAGAGTTAGGCGATGACGTGGTTCGTGTTTTAGATTTATAACCAATAAGTACATTAGAGTTAAATTTCGATTAGGATAAATAATCATTATGATTGTTTGTCAGTTGTAAGTTTAATAATTATTATAACTTCCCTTCGTAATCTGGTAATTATTAATCATATATTAAATGATTATTTGTATTATTTTTAAAAAACCAAATGTAATTCAAGTTAAGCTGTTAATGATATAATTTTTAAATGTAACAAATATTATGATTAACAAGACTGATTGGAGAAAATAGTTGAAAACATTACCGAAAATTTACATGCTTAAAAACCCAAATGTAATTAAATTACGATATTGAAGACTTATTTTTAAAGTTTAACCAATATAATGATTAACAAGACTGATTGGAGAAAAAAGTAGAAAACATAAAAAAAAAAGATTTTTAAATAACCAAATGTAATTAAATTACGATATTGAAGATCTAACTTTTAAATGTAACCATTATAATGATTAGCAAGACTGATTGGAGAAAATAGTAGAAAACGTTACTAAAAAATTTAAATTTTTAAAAAACCAAATGTAATTCAATTTAAGATATTGAACATGTAATCTTTAAATGCAACAAATATAATAATTTTTAAAAGATTAACTTATATGCATTATAACAATTGCATCTTTAGCATTTTTTATATTTCTTCATATAGTCTCTTTGAAAAAGGATTTGTTTGAATTCCATTAATTTTGTTTAATATATACTAGAATTTCAATGAAACCATGGTTTATTTTGAATATTTGGGAGTATTTGTCGATAAGATGTTTCTTTAGTGAGAATTTTATGTGAATCTTCATTAATTCATTTTTAATCACCCTCATCGCAAGTGTCGTGTCGAATGCAAGTCGTTTTTTCGAGAGTCGAATCGTATCGAAAACTTCACGTCATTGCCTAAAATTTCCACTCGACTAGAGTATTAAAACGGAAAAACTTGGCAGCGCTGTATAGTTTTCGACGATTTTCGTCGTTTATTTATTTCAGCACGACAGTAGACAATGCCAATGTTATCGAGTCGTATAATTTAGCCTAATTTACGACTTACGCAATGATGCTGAATATCTATATGGCCATAAAAAGTTAATTCATTGTCTATTGCGTAGATCAGTGGAATCTTCTTTATACATTTAATTCAATCTGTATATAAAAACGCATTTTAGCACTACCAGACTACTTTTCTTCTACCTTTTCACATCAGGGGATAAAATTGTTACCCGCTTCTATTTCCTTCTCAAATGCAACCTTACAAGGCAGTCGATTGACACAAATGTCAATATTTATCCAACCTTGTATTATTGAATGTATTATTGAATCATGAACGAAGACCAGTGCTGCCGCTGTCACTTCAATTGAAGTTTGTCACTTCTCTTTGGAAGCCTTCACTTCATCACTTCATTTTACTTCCGTTTTACTTCACTTTAGGGCCGGTTTCTCCATCTCTGGTTAACACTAAGGGCCAATTTCAAATGAATATTTGAATGGCACTTTTAAGTTTAATTGTGAACTGTTGTTTAAATGCCATTTAACTTTCGTTGGGTTTCAGATCACCTTTGTTTAAATATGCCAAACAATTGACAGCACTGCTGCATGTTCCTTGAAATTATTGTTGCATTTGCTTGTTTGTTTACATTTTATGCTGAACAACTGATTGTTTTTTGGTGGAATGACAAAACTCGCCGCTATAACTATTGTCATGTTTATAACCAATTGTCACGTTTAGGTATGCAGAGGGCAATTTAAAAGCTCCAACGGTGACAATTGATATTATTTTTGTGATGACCTATTGAGTATGGGACACCGCTAAAACATATGTTAATATTTTCAATTTTATTAATTTTGCAGAAAAAAAGTTGCAAAATTTTACTAAATTAAAACTGAATCCATTTTATTTGCGTAATTAGTTGTGTTAAAAATTTATTATTTGCGTATGCATATCATAATAGTATCCATTGCAGAATATTATTCATGGAGGAAATAACTATTACGTACGCGGCTATTATTGTGGAGCAAGAAGAAATTATACAGGCAAGAAGACTTCTGAGCGAACTCCGAAACAACAGTCTTTTTGGACAGTTTTTACACGTTTGCAGTTCGGGGTGGTCTTCACAAAACTGCAGCTGCTCTTGTGTGGTGCATTCATATTTTCCACGCCTTTTACTACACGAATTCATAATAAAATGAAATAAATTTTCCTATTATATAATTACTCTCTTTACCGACGTTTCGTAATCCATTGCTGTGGTGTATTTTATTTAAAAGAAATCCCGTCTGTTTCAGTGGCGGTCAAAAAGAACAATTAAAATGTAAATAAGGAAGAGCTGTTTCACTATAGAGAAACTTTCGCCGCAATTGGCAAATAAAACGAGCTTTTCGCTTGTCATTATTGACTGTGCATACCTATGACAACTATGAAGACTGTGAAAATTAATAGTGGAAGTTAATCAGCAATCTCTACTTAAATGACCGGTAAAACTATAGTTAGGGCCGGTTTCTCCATCTCTGGTTAACACTAACTCTCCGGTTAAACATTGTTATCGACGTTCTAACTCCATGCATATAACAGGGAGTCGATAAGGTCGGTAACGATGTTTACCGGGGGATTAGTGTTAACCGGAGATAGAGAAACTGGACCTTAGGGCCGTTTGCACCATGTCTAGTTAATTCTAACTCCCAGTTAAACATCTTTATCGACGTTATTGACACCCATCATATAACATGTGATCGATAAAGCAGTTAACGTGCTTAACTGAAGGATGTACCTCCAGTTAGCGTTAACTAGACATGGTGCAAACGGCCCTTAGTGGAGGAAAAGGAGGATGAGAGAAAGAGACGGGAGTCGAGTTTGAGCAGCCGAATTGTGCGGTCGACTAGCAGCAATGAAATTAATTACTATTGCATTTTATTTGAATTTAATCTTTGAATAAATAGTCTTAGTGTTAATATTAAAATTAGTCATTCTTCTGAAAAACACAATTAGTGAAATGAAAATATGGATGAACAATTAAATGGTACATTTTTTTTATTTTTATGACGTTGGGAAATATTGCCAATCAAAAAGAAAATTGCACGCCAAAACTTAACAGTCAGAAAGGGTCAAAATGACGTAGGTTCCAAGTTTTTACTAGTTTTCCGTTTAATAACTTTTTCTGATAATTTTCTGTTACTCTCAAATTTTCTTTCTTATTTTTCTTATAATATTTATTCACAATGAGAGAAATATCAAGAAAGTACGAAAACGCAAAAACAAATTTTATGAACATCTGATTAATTTGTTATTTTCCTACGGAATTTTTTAAGAAAAATAGTATTTCCCATCTTAATATATATTTAAATAGGTTTATTTTGTCAATTGCAACTCTAAAAGCACCACAAACATTTCTTTTGGTAATGTGAATTGCATTAAGCATCAGCCATCAGCTGTTTTTCTTACTAGCAAATAGTTACTAGTAAAAATTTATCCAGTAAAACTTGCAAGTTCAGCAGTCATTTTTGCACACTCTTTTGCTGGTTTCTTGCAAGTTTTTGCGTTCCAAAACGCCTTCCAGAACAACCAGTAAAATTAGTACTGGATTTTGCTGGATAGTGCGTCCCCGAACAGGGCTACTGAATGAACCTAGTGACAACCACAGAGAAATTGAAGTGTATGTTTATATACGTAGGGTCTGAATGTTTTCCACTTGAAATAATTTATAAAAATTATTAAGTGAAGCTCGCAATAGTCTGCAAATTCCTGTTCGCGCTAAACTTTGTAAGTTCCTCTCTGTGAGAAGGTAAGATAAATTATTATTGAAACTTACCTTCTTTTTTAATGATATCTGTCATACCAGCGTTACTAGTTGGAATTGGTGGTTTTTGTGTAATAGCCATAAGCGCCTGCTTAAATTTTATTTTGCCTTCAGCGTCTACAAGTTGCACAAGTTTTTTTTGTAATACATCGTTTCCAGTAGTGTCTGGGATATTTGTAGCTGTATACTTAGCATTCGGTGAGATCATTTTAGCCACGCTATCAATTTTTAACGGCATTAATTTTCCTATCCGACTTAGTGCAATTATCTTCGTTTTGTTGTGTGTTGTTTTCTGAAAACTGGCGCCGTTGGAAACTGGTAGCGCTATTAACCTGGGCGTATTGAGCTGTATTGTTTTTGTATTGTATTGTTTTTGTAGAGTTGACAGAAATGGGAGAGTATCCTGCTCTTGAGTGTTATCGTATGTGGGATTCATTGAAGATGGTCCATTTTTCATAGTGCCTTCTGAAGAAAATATCAGATCCTTAATCATATTACTTTCGAATGCTGGAGGGTCACGGATATCAATCCTGATGTTTTTTTGGGAAATGTAGTTTTGGGTGGTAAAATTTATTTCGGGTGTACATTCCGTTCGCTGTGGACTCTTGCACATAATATTAATACGACGACTAGATGAGACTTCAAGATGCGTCTCATCAACGCCTACCGATGGTTGAATTTTCATATTATCAGCTGAAACTACTCCGCTTTTATTTAGAAATCCAAATAAATTATCACCTAACTCTGCCTTATTGCGAATAAAATATATCGGTCGGGGTTTTTTTGTGGAATTCACTTGGGTTGTAGGTGGATCAGTGTTTATATCTATATTTTGTGATGAAATATTTAGCGTTGATTCTTTATTAAATATGGAACCTTTTTTGCTCTCATTTGCTTCCGTGATCACATGCCTCAGCTGGTCTCCTTGCTTTGATTTGTTGATTATAGCGTCCTTACGAAGCCACATTTCCATTAATGTTTCAGCGCCAAGAGTATGCATGCCACTTAGTGTTCGATCTAGTACCAGATTATGTATAAGTTGAACAGACTTCTGTTGTAGGTGGTCATGAAAAAACATTTGAATTCTTATTGGAAACTCGCCCCATCCTCTGCGAGCTATTTGAAAAGGTGGGATTCGAATATCTACAATATCATTTGGTCTGTATGAAGGGTGAAGATGGAAGCGTACTTTCTTAATGAAGGACTCAATGGGTATGGTCGTATCTTTGGATTGTACGTAAACTATCCATTTATGAGTAAGATCAGCAGCTTCAGGTTTTTTTTTATCTACTCCACCACTTTCTGCTCCAATATAGGTAGAAGTATTACCTATAGCAATAATTTGTTTTCTCTTGTTGTTTAGACGAGATGCATTAAGTGCTCTTGTCTTTTTTATGAATTTATTTTCCGTCATAACAGATATAGATCTAAGAACGCCTTGAGGTACAACTAAAGAATTTTTTTGATTATGTACAGATACCGCTTTGGCCACTTGCACATTTGCTTGCTTGAAACGATCAATAACCAAACTTTGTGGTATTTTCGATTGAGATCGTGCGCGTATAGTGTTTAATGCATTTTGGGCCGCAGCACGTTCAGGAATTGGACGGCATAAAGTTTCAGAATGGCTAAAAGTTTTTTTTGCAGCTATATTTTTGACGGAAGGGTGTAGCTCCATTAGTGGCGCGTGTAAATTATATCCAAAGAGCGTTTCATTTCCTCGCACAGCAGTCACATCACTCGCTGCTAACACTAAATTTTGCTTTTGGTAAAATTCTGATACAATTACATACCGCAAACGATCCAACAAGGTTCGAGACTTCTCCAGTCTTTTTTCTATTTCCGCTAACTCATCTTGCTTCAAACTGATTTCATTTTGAAATTCACGGAAAATATAATTACAAATCATATCTAACTTGCTGTCGGTATTTGAAAATGTTTCATTAAGTAGTATATTAGTATTCTCAACGCGCAATTTCTTCTTTGGACAAGGACGCACATAATCCGGATCATAGTATTCATTATGCTTTCGCTTTTTCGGTGAAGCGCTCGAACAAAGCATATCAACAAAAATACACTTCGTTTCTCCTAAAGGTGTTGAACTTGTTTAAAGAGCGGGTCAGACGTGGCAATATCTCTAGCTTTTCCACGCAATTCGCTGTCGAATTGAGAAATTTTGGCCCTTATTATGAGCTGCATTCGATTTTCGATCTTCGCTGGCTATCGAAGATCGAAGATCGAAAGTGGAATTCGTATTATGAGCTATGCAAGCGTGTCGAAATTTTCGTTGAGTATCGAATTTTCTGTCGAACAGAATTTTGCTTTCGATGGTATAGCGAAGTGTTAGAAAATTGTGAAAAATGTATGATTTTGTATATGTTTTCTTACATTTTGGCGGCTAGACATTAATTTTAAACAATTTTTATTAATTTCATGCAGTTCTAACATCTTGAATACTAAACACAAGCTCGAAAGGCTGGTTTTACTTGTGAAAGAAAATCCCAATACTCTGTTGGCACGATCTCTGAGAACAAAATCGTAGCGCTGTTGATAGTTTTAAAATATTTTAAATAGATTTGGCTCACAAACGCCTCTTTAGATGGTCGGAACTTTTTAATGAATCTGTAGACAAATTTCTTAAATATATTTTATATCAAAATATATTCGAAAGACTAATAAACTTAAACTCTCTTAAACATTTGCTACTCCTGGCCAGTTTACTAAGCTCTCATCCTCTGACGAATCGTTGAACCAGAACTCGTTGTACTCATTTTACCACGTTTTTATAAACTTGCTTTCTTTTTTACTTCATTTTAATTAGAACAAATTTACATAAATATGTATAAGCACACTATTTAGTTTGCTCGATTTGTAAACAAAGCTTCTCAGCGGTGAAAAATATACTATTGTGAACAACCTAAACGAGCGAAATTCACAATAGCGCTATTCTTCATCGAATGAATGCCATAATACCAAATGCAAATTCGTTCGCTCAGCACTTTCGACCACAGTCGAAAATCGAATGCAAATCATAATAGGGGCCTTTAATTCGTTATGTGAACAGCCAGAAAGACCTTTCTCTCACATTTCGGAAAACAGTTTCAGAAACATGATACAAAAAAAAAAACGTAGTTTCATTTAATGACATTTATTGTTGTTGTTAACTATTTGACTTTTAATAATATTGACTTTTCAGCAAATTTATGCTACCTGATCACTAGAAGAAATATTTTTTTTTAAGCAAAAGATTTTATTTTATGGACTTGAAAATTGGGCCGGCTACATAATTTCGAAAATGGGGCTGACGACTAGGTTTCAGAACGCTCAAAGTGTATACTTACACATCGCCGTTTAAAGTACAAAACCGCGCATCGTCGTTGTGCAAAACCGGGTAAATGACATTTTTTGCCAAAAATTTGATTTGCTCACACAAGCTCTTGGCTTACAGGCTAACCTAATATCCGCGGCTTGCGTTTTGGTACGCACGCCGTAGAATTTTTTGTTTTGCGTCACCCGAAAATGGCTTGCGTGCGTTTGCATTTGATTTCATTGAGCGAAATGTCAAATCAAAATGTCACGCAGAACAAAAATTGGAAATTGAGTTAGCTTCATACGCGCGCCGTTCAATTTCGGTTGGTCGCATACAAAATGTACAGTGACGAGCAAAACTGTAACATGGAGTAACACTTTTTATTTCAGCTGTCGCTATCTTTCCAAGTTTTAACGACATTCATACGGTTGTTGTATATTTTTATTGGTACATCTTTGCTTCCTCTGTCATAACGATTTGAAGTCAATTCAACAACATTTACAAAACCAGCAGACAAAAATGTAAATTAAGGCATATGTTACAGTTTTGCACTCATATATTTTTAATAACTTTTTGACAATTTTCACAAAAAAAAAGAATTATTAACACAATGTTCAGTATGCTTTTGCTTTATTTAGTTCCTGGTTGCAATTTGGCATACCTAATGTGTATGTCTGTAAAAATTCTGGAGCTATAGCCTCCCATATATCCTTGGTGTGCTTTCACCGCTCATGTACTCCATTGGACGGACTTGGATACTTAGTAAGATGCGCTTTTAGTTGATTTCGCAAATTCTCGATGAGATTCATGTCCTCGGATTGTGGAGGTCATTTCAAATTAGCAATTTTCTGCTTTTGTTCCAGTCTTTGCGAACATGTGCAGTGTGTTTTGGTTGCTTTTTCAGCAGAAACTCTAATTTTTCCGACTACATCTTGCAAATTTTGTTAAAATATGAACAGATACTGTTCCTTACGCATAATGCGTACAAACGGATCAACAACATTTTTGAAATACAACCCCAAACTATTATTGACCGACCACTGTGATTCACAGTTTGCCTTACAAGATGCGCTTAGGCTTAATTTGGGCCTTTGATCCAATACCATGCCCGGCCATCTGATTGAAAGCTATTAATTTAGTCTTGTCAGACCAAATAACCCTCAATTAAATCTTAAAAATGTGTTTTTTATTGCATTCTGTAAGGCCTAACATATCCCAATAGGCAACGGTCCGGTTTTCGTGCGATGCAGCAAAACGCTGCCACACTCGCACATGTATTTTGATCAAATTTGCTTTTTTCTTCTTTTATGATCCATTTTGCTCAATTTGGCAATTTTTCGCCTCACTATCTACTGATTTGCATTCAATTTTAATACCTTAAGCGCTTCTGTAGTAGTGCCTGCAGCGCTACTTGCTACTAAGTTCACAAGATATCGGACTGTAATATATTTTGACAGACTTTCTTTGTCCTTAGTAACACTTTAGGCTATATTTTTTCTCAGTCTTAACATTTTCATGTGGCAAACTCCACAATTTTTTGCCACTTTCCCAGCGGTTCCGCCTTTTCGCAGTAAATCTATTATTTACATTTATGTTTCCTGATTAACCATATTATTTATTGGTGATCACTTCTTGAATAAATTACAATACAGAAAAAAGTCATCTGACTTCCAAATAAGCAAAAGATAACTGTAAAATGCAAAACTGAGAGTGAGTGCAAAACTGTAACATTTGCCTTAACTTACATTTTGGTCTCCAGGTTTTTTTATTGTTGTTGGATTGACCTCAAATCGTTATGAGAGCGGGAGTAGGAGTGTACCAATAAGAATATACAACAAAAGTATGAAAGTCGTTAGAACTATGAAAGATAGCGGTGGCTGAAATAAAAAGTGTTACATCATGTTACAGTTTTGCTCGTCACTGTATGTGCATGAGAAATTTTTGACAGTAAATTGGCGGCGTGCGTGAATATTAGGTTAGCCTGTTAAGCCTTATCTATTCGTCCTGAAATGCGATGTCTTTGTAAAAAAGAGAACCATTTTGAAATATGAGTGTTTTTACTCTTTAGAAAATACTTTATCACATATCATTTTAAGTTAAAAATATAATATGTGATATGTGATAAATATATATATATATATATATGCATTTTAAATTAAAAATTTGAGAAAGTTAATGAAAATAAAATTTGTAATTCATTAAAGAGTTATTCGCAAAAACATTTGCAATTACGACATCACTGGGGCTGCAGCCCCAAGTTTACCACACACACAAACGGAATTCTGGTTACCTCATCCTTTCCCAAGGCTACATCACTGGGGGTAACCCCAGTTGGTGCACACAAAAAGGAGAATTCTATTTGGTAAGGGTTATAATCCTAAAGCGCGGCCGGAGGCCGCCTACGCAGAAAAGAGTTGGACGCACAAACAATTTTTTAATAAAGTGGCAGCAGCAATTTACCTCCATTTTATTTTTAATAGAGTGGCAACACTAGGTTTCTTCCATCTTATTTATATTTACTGCACAAGATTTTTGTGCGGATTTTCAACATTGCAATATTCCAATTAAATACGGAATTTCGTGAAAATTTACACTTGAAACGTGACAAATGTATAAAAAGTAATCAATTCGTCTTGAGTTCATCTGCTCCATTTATTTGCGTAAAATCCATCAAAACATAGTGCGGAAAGTGCAAGTGTTTTTTTTTTTGTGAATAACTCTTAAATTAATTAAAAATCTTAATTTCCAGTCTCGGATTGTTATCATTCGCGTTAAAACGCGTCGATCGATACCCCTCTTGATTTTTTTGGTCAATTTTGGCCTGGTTCCGCTGAAGTGCACTTTTACCAAAACCTCTTTCGAAAGACACTTTACATGCAAGGTGTGACTGCTCATTCAACTGCTTTCCGAAATTTCTCAATTTGACAGCCTTTTCGAAATATATTGCATACGAAATATATTGCCACGTCTGACACGCCCTTAACTGTAACTTATTAGTTGTGTTTAATGAGCTGCTCTAGGTTACGCCAGGTTAGTAGGGAATTTACATGAGGCGATTTTTAGTTGAAAGCAACAATCGCCTGGTGTAAACGGCCTTTCGCTTACAATGAAGTTGGTCGGCTGCCTACTTTCGTTCAACTTTTGGTTCAACTAATCGCCTGTGAAAGTTAAATCATGTATATTCCCTATAAGATATCTCACGAAATTGTGTTTCATGGGGATTTTTCTTGCTCTAACTTAAGCCTGCTATACAGTTCAATGTGAGCGGGAGCGTGAGCTTTTTATTTTGACCAATATCTTCGTTATTACTTAACTTTTTGCAATAGTTTATTCATCAAAAGATAGAGAATTAAAATATCTTTCAGAATTATAGAATAAAAAATAATTTACGCATATGCTTTTTTTCAAGCTCACACTCAACTGTGTGCGTACGCAAAGCAGATGTGTGTGAGCGTCCATAAGAATACAAATGGAATTCTTTGCCTTTGCGAATGTTCACGCTCACGCTCGCACTGAACTGTATATCAAGCTTTAAGGTAAGACCACACTAAGCGACGCGATACTGCAGCGGCACTACGCGACACGGCGCGACACTTTTTGATATATCGCACTGAAACTGCAGCGGCGCGACAATTCGATGCAAATTTTTTTATTTTTTTTGTGTCAAAACCTTCAAACAAGATGGATGCCAGTGACGCTGATGTAATGTTAATGCCTTTTATTTTTATTTTCCTTGGCGAATTCTCAAATATTATGTTTCTCTACATACAATTTTCTTCTTGAATGAAATGCATTTGAATATTCACTCACAATTGGAAATCCAATTACTTCAAATTAAAAATATAGTACGAAATGTTATGTCGTTACGCTAGGTATACCGCACTATGCGGCACCGGGACTGCGCGACACCATGCGGCGCAACATTTTTGCCTGTGTGGTCAACATTGCCGCGCAGGGTCGCGTCGCGTAGCTCCCTACATCGTAGTGCGGTATGCTCCATAAGAATACATGCAAAGAGTATTTTGCCGCGCTGTGTAGTGTCGTGTCGCGTCGCCTAGTGCGGTCGTACCTTTAGAGCAAGCAGACACACACACACGCTTTACAATTGACGACCTGAATTGTCGAGCAATCAACTGTTTTGATAATTTCTGCCTGACAAGTGTTTCATGAGATTTATGATCTGAGTTGCTCTAAAGGCCCGTCCACATACAACTTTGGCGTTGCGTTGGCGCTGGTGTCACTTTGACAGCAGCGCGAGTACCGCCCGTGCTTGCTACAATGAACGCTTAGCAGAGAATACTTTGGTCACTAAATTAACATACTAGCGGAGATAAATCAAAATTTTATATCAATAATTGCATTAAAAACTATATTTCTTGTCCGCATTTGATTAAAAAGGAAAATTAAATCACATAATTTTGATTATTTGGAACAGCTGACGAACGAAGCGCGCGAAAAATTGCGAGTTGGTCATCTTTTTGCGTTGTGTTGGCGTTGGCGTTGCCCAACTTTGGTTATGTGAAGACTTTCATATAAATGCATGGATTCATAGTCAGCTGTCGAAGCGACGCCAACGCCAACGCAACGCCAAAGTTGTATGTAAACGGGCCTTAACTTGCTCTATTTTTGTTTTGGCAGCTGCTCTATTCTGCTCCAACTTGGGCTGCTCTACAATTTTATCGGTCTCATTAAACACAACTATTATGATAAAATGTCGAGAAATCTATGTATTTCCACGAACCAACGATCACGCAATCTGCCGTCGTATTTGTAATTGAATTTCAGAAAAAAGTTTTCTTAGCGCTTTTGATGTTTTTCCCTTTTGTTTACATCGTCTTCTAACCCTTCGGGATGGCTTTTTTTTTAGCAATTTGATGTTTTATGAGCGGTTTTCATTTTAATTTTGATTCATTACAAATTTGTCATATAAAATGAAGTGCTTTGTGATTGGAGCAAGTTTGTGCGTTTGTTTGGTCTGGCAAAAGGAATAAACTTTCGTGAAAAGTGGGTGCACGTTTGTGGCCAGAACGTTGACATTGAAAAATCAACCCTTGGTAATGATATGCGATTGTAAAACACTTTCAATCATGAAAACCATATTTTATGACCTTTTTTTGCTAATTGTCATCGAGTCTCACTTTGTATATTTTATAATAAATACCAATTTAATCGCACTCAATCCCCGGGCCTTTTTCGTTTTCTTTGTTTGTTTTCACTCTTAGGCAGATGTCAAAAACGCTCAGGAATTAACTTTTTTCATTCTCTTTCGATTGCGTGATCTTGTTAGTTGGTTCAATTGTATTTCGTTACTTTTAACCATGACACCTTTTAATACTAGAAGTTTCGAAAAAATATGGATGCTAGAGCTGGGATACTATCGCCACTATCGATAGTTTTTAAAAACTATCGATGTCGGTTTTAGCAAGACTTCACTATGTCTCTTCTTTACATTTCTACATTAAATAATTTTTTTTTTATGCAAGGAAATTCACAACAGTCGGCAAAAAAAAAATGTAAGTCATTGGGTTTTTTAGCAACTATAAGCTTACACTGAGTTATAGTAAAATTTAATAAGCAATAAAACTGCTTACACAAAATTTTTATAGAAATTCGAATTAAAAAGCTTGAATTTTTAATTATATTGTAGTTTTTTGGTTTGTACATTTTTTATAAAAATTAGACACTAAATAAACAAAAAAAAGTAGTCAAAACTGCTAAAAAATATTGTGGTGCTATTATTTTGAGCAGTACTATATTCGTTTTCTTATAAAATGGTAAAATGTTAATAATTTCCCTTGTACGGATTTTGATATGCGCCTCCGTACTTTATCTCAGTTTAACTTTTATAAGAATGAGTTGTCAATTTAAACGAATATCTTTTATTTTGTTTGTTTTGTAGTATTATAAATCTTTTTTTATAGCCAATTTCACTTCTTTGCACTTTAAAAGGGACAAACACAAGCCGATTTTAATTTTGCCATATAAAAAATAAATTCAGAATTTTCCTGTCGTTATTCAAGGGGATGCAAGGGTATGTATATAAGTTATATAATTCAGACGCATAAATGAATAAGTTTATTTTATTATTATAAAGTTATTTTGGATGCACTCAAATAAAAAAAAAAAATATACAATCTCTTTAATTTACAAAGTAATGTATAAATTTTATAAATTTATTAATTATTTAAATTTCAAGCAATTGAGCTTTTCAATACAATACCTTTCACGACGATAGTACTATCGTTTCGAAAACTATCGAGTGGCGGTACTATCGACGAGCATGCTCGCTGAAAATCAAAATTTTTTGATTTTTGGCGAGCATGCGCGCAAACCGCCCTACAAACGACGAGCATGTGCGCATGTGCGCGGATATGCTCGTCGTGTGTAGCTACTGTAATGGATGCATCGAAAATATCGAAGTCTTGCACGATTATACATGAAATATCTACTCCAACGAACCACCAACAAAAATACAAGATCACCTAATCAAATATGCAAGAAAAAAAAGTATATTTCTCAGGGATTTCGACATCTGCCTAAGAATGAAAACAAACAAAGAACACGAAAAAGGCGCGGTTATTGAGTGCGAATAAGTTGGTATTTATTATAAAATATACAAAGTCAAACTTGATAACAATTAGCAAAAAAAGTTCATAAAATATGGTTTTCATGATTGGAAGTGTTTTACGATCGCATATCATTACCACGGGTCGATTTTTCAATGCCAACGTTCTGGCCACGAACGTGCACCCACTTTTCACGCAAATTTACGCCTTTTGGCAAACCAAACATACGCACAAACTTGTTCCAATCACACAGCACTTCATTTTATATCATAAATTTGTAATGGAGTGCAATGGGGTATAGTCGTTGCGCTGGGTATGCAGTTACAGTTGCATGGCTATACTCAATCCCGACTCTTGCGTCCTCGTTCGCGCACTCTGGGCAACGTGAGCAACCCATGTGCGAGATGCGGTAACCAATCCGAGTGGAGCCTTGTGTCACGGCAGAAAGAGAGGGAGCTTCGGTGGGGCCACTCCGACTTATTTGGTTTAAGGGCTCACTGAAGTCTGCAGCGTCTGTTCACCAGTAGGTGCGGCTGCAAGCGGGTGTCTGCTTGGAGCAAACGGCTCGCTATATAAACGTGTATTTGGTTGCGAAACCACCCCCGTCCCAGCAATGGGTTGTGCGCTGGGCTTGGGACCCGCCACGTAAAAACCACTTCCAGTGAAGAAGCAAGGCAAAGCCTCGGATGTGACCCCCCCTTATGATGACGACCACGGCAAACGTTTAAAGGACTACGATTTGAGGGCATGCACCTGGAATGTCCGGACCCTTAATGGGGAAGGTGCCTCTGACCGGCTGGTTGATGTCCTCGTAAGGACAAAAGCTGACATCACCGCCATCCAAAAAAAGCGTTGGACGGGGCAAGGCAAACAATGTCTGGGGCCTTGCGACGTCTACTACAGCTGCCATGTAAAGGAGCGCAAATTCGGAGTTGGATTTGTAGTGGGAGAAAGACTCCGTCGCCGAGTGCTGCCGTTCACCCCGGTGGACGAGCGTCTAGCCACAATCCGCATCAAATCGAGATTCTTCAACATCTCGCTCATCTGCGCCCATGCCCCGACGGAAGAGAAGGATGAGGCATCCAAGGATCTCTTCTATGAGCGCTTGGAGCGCACGTACGAGCGCTGTCCCCGTCATGAGATCAAAATCGTGCTTGGCGACTTCAATGCCAGGGTGGACAAGGAAGGGATCTTTGGAACCACCGTCGGAAAATTCAGCCTCCACGACGAAACGTCCGACAACGGATTGAGGCTGATCGACTTCGCCGGGGTCCGAAACATGGTAGTATGCAGTACTAGGTTCAAGCATAAAAAGATGCATCAAGCTACATGGCTGTCTCCGGATCGAAAAACGAGAAACCAAATCGATCATGTTGTGATAGACGGAAGGCACGCTTCCAGTGTTTTAGACTCCGAGGCCCATACATCGACTCGGACCACTATCATGTTGCAGCCCAGATACGCACCCGCCTCTGTGCAGCAAAATAGGTGCGCCCAAATATGCAAGGGAAGCTTAACGTCGAAAAGCTGCAATCACAACAGACAGCCAGCGCTTTCGCTACTCGACTCTCACACCTGCTCTCAGAGAGCACTCTTCAACAAACCGACATATGCGAGCAGTGGAACCACATTTCCCGCTCATTAAGTACCGCCGCCGAAGAAGTAGTAGGATTTCAACGAGCCCGAAAGAACAACTGGTGCGATGAGGAGTGTCAGGAAGCTGCAGAGAAAAAAGATGCCGCCTACAGGCCCACGCTGCGGTCGGGCGCAACGCGCGCTATGTGGGACCGCTATAGGGATCTGAAGAGGGAAGCGAGACGTATTTGTCGCAATAAGAAGAGAGAGGCCGAAATACGTGAGGGCGAAGAGCTTGAAATGCTGGCCGACAGGAGGAATGCCCGAAAATTTTACCAGAGAGTTAGGCGACTTACGGAAGGTTTAGAGACCGGGGCGCCCTCCTGTAAGAACAATAATGGCGACCTAGTAACTGATGGCCAGAGCGTACTTAAATTATGGAGGGAACACTTTTCCGCCCTACGAAATGGTAGCAGCACGGAAAGTTGTGGAGAAGAAGAACCCGAGCCCGCAGTCGATGATGACGGAGTCGACGTTCCACCGCCTGACTATGACGAGGTACGTATAGCAATAACGCGGCTGAAGAACTACAAAGCTGCTGGAGCTGACAGCCTGCCAGCTGAGCTATTCAAGTACGGCGGCGAGTTGATAAGGTGCATGCATCAACTCTTGTGCAGAATATGGTCAGATGAACGCATGCCCGACGACTGAAATTTAAGTGTGCTCTGCCCAATCCACAAGAAAGGTGACCCCGCCATTCGCGCCAACTACCGCGCGATCAGCCTTCTAAGCATAGGTTACAAGGTCTTATCGAGCGTATTGTGTGAAAGACTGAAGCCCACCGTCAATGAACTGACTGGGCCTTATCAGTGTGGCTTTAGACCTGGAAAATCCACCATAGACTAGGTATTCACGATACGCCAAATCTTGGAAAAGACCCGCAAGAAAAGGATCGACACTCACCACCTATTTGTCGACTTTAAAGCCGCTTTTGCAGCACTAAAAGGAGTTGCCTATACGCCGCTATGTCTGAATTTGGCATCCCCTCAAAACTCGTACGGCTGTGTAAAATGACGTTGAGTAATACCACCAGCTCGTCAGAATTGGAAAAGACCTCTCCGAGCCGTTCGCCACAAAACGAGGTTTCAGACAGGGCGACTCCCTTTCATGTGACTTCTTTAACCTGATGTTAGAGAAGATAATAAGAGCTGCAGAACTGAACCGCTCAGGAACAATTTACTACAAGAGCGTGCAATTGCTGGCTTATGCCGATGACATCGACATCATCAGTAACAAAAACCGCGAAGTCTGTTCTGCCTTGTCCAAGTTGGATAGGGAAGCAAAGCGAATGGGTCTGGTGGTAAACGAGGACAAGACGAAGTATCTCCTGTCATCAAACAAACAGTCAGCACATTCGCGCCTTGGCACCCACGTCACTGTTGACAGTTACAATTTCGAGAAAGTACAGAATTCCGTTTACTTGGGAACCAGCATTAACACCGATAATAATGTCAGCATGGAAATCCAACGCAGAATCACTCTTGCCAGCAAGTGCTACTTTTGACTGAGTAGGCAATTCAGGAGTAAAGTCCTCTCTCGACGTACGAAAACCACGCTTTATAAGTCACTCATCATGCCCGTGCTGGTTTATGGCGCAGATGCATGGACAATGACAACATCCGATGAGGCGGCTCTTGGAGTATTCGAGAGAAAGATTTTGCGGAAGATTTACGGACCTTTACGCGTTGGCGACGGCGAGTATCGCAGACGATGGAAGGATGAGCTGTATGAGCTTTACAACGATATGGGCATAGTGAAGCGAATTAAAATACAGCGGCTCCGCTGGCTTGGTCATGTCGTTCGAATGGACACCGACGCTCCAGCTCTGAAAGTATTCAACTCGGAACCCGCTGGTGGTAGCAGAGGAAGAGGCAGACCCCCACTGCGATGGAAAGATCAGGTCGAGAAGGACTTGGCTTTACTTGGCGTTTCCAATTGGCTTCAGTTGGTACAGAGGAGAAACGACTGGCGTGCTTTGCTGAACTCGGCTAAAATCGCTTCGGCGGTTACAGCGCTAAAAAAGAAGAAGAAGAAGATGTAATAAACCAAAATTTATAATTAAAATCGCTGCAGAAAACACATTCAATCCCTAAAAAATCACTACGAAGAGGTAGAAGACGGTGTAAACAAAACCGAAAAACGTCAAAAACGCTACGAAAACTTTTTTCTGGAAATCGATTACAAATACAACGATGGCTGATTAGGTGATCTGTAGTCGTTGGTTCATGGTATAGACAGTAAACGATGTTTCCACGCCAAGTGATTCGCTCTCCCATTCGTAACTCGCTCTAATTCGTGATTGGCGCCCCAATTACGAACCGAATCACATGACTCGCCATACAAAATTTTGAGAGCGGATCACTTCATTCGTAGGTGATTCAGATCCAATTGTTTAAGCCGCCGCTTTTAGCGCAATACGACGGCCGTGCGCGCAATCCTTGGCCGCAGCAGTTTGGCAGTTGACCTACGTCAACTCCGAAAATGATTACCGAGCGCGCACGGCCGCCTACCATCATCATGAAAAAGATGGCAAAAGCTAGTCCAACAATAAACGTCGGTCTACGCGCACGCGCCCCATTCAAAGTATAATTTTTAAATTCATATTTTGCCAATCTGTTTAAATCATTTTTTAATAAGTGAACCCCCGGATATATGTATGTGTACATATACTACTAAACTGAACTTTGTTATTGTGTGGAAGCCGAATAAATATATTGAGCGAATCCTTGAAACTTTTAAAGCTTGTGAATAAACTTAACTTTTGTACAACTTAAAACCGAACCTAAAGCATTTCTTTAATTGGAAATAAAGTGCGTAAAGAGGTGAGTGCGAAGGGACCAAGCGACCGGAAGTATTCATGGTCCTCCGCAGCCAACCGTGGCCCAGCTCCTAAGAAAATAAAATTTTATAACTTAAAAATAAAAATAAAACAATCCGTATTCGTACGTCCGCAAAAACCCTAATATAAAAACAATTCCGTACAAAAAAACACAATAAACAAAGTGCAACCAAGTGCGAGCATTGAAAGTGCAAGTAAACATACATACATATATTTGTATGTAACCGTGAAGAAAAAAACAACACAGCAACTCTGTAAAAGAAAACTTTTTTTGATAAAAAAAAACAGAAAACAAAATAAATAAAAAAATTTAAATACATAAATTTTTTTGACAAAAAAGAACCATTGGAGTGAAGCTGTGCCCCAAAGAAGCACAACAACAACTACAGCATCAACAATCAACATTAGCAGCCATCAACAGCATTAGCAGCCTTTATCATCATCAGCGGCAACAACAAAACCAGGCACAAGACCAAGAAGCTAACATACATATCTACAAAAATACAAGGAAAGTAGTAAGTAGGCAAGTTTTTTAATTTTCTTAAAAAATTAAAATAATATAACGTTATTCTCTTACAAGTTATATTATTTCAAAGAAATTGCAAACGGACAGCCATACGTATATACATATACATACATAAATATATATATATAATTTAATAAAAGGCGTATTTTTTCTCGCAAAAAACGGTTCTATTAAAATTGCGGATATTTTCCTGCCGCCCAAAAATTTCACATCGGCAATTTGCCGCTATTAAAATTTTGGTAGGAAAATTCCGTTTTCCGGAAAGCGATATATCTCCATATACCGTCAATCTTATATATATATGGGTATATGTACATATATAAAAATTCTGATGTTTACACCAAAATAAATTCCGTTGCAGTTTATATGCCTACTGTGTCCCACTGTCCAAGAACAAAATAGTTGCGTTCCAGATAACTTCGTGTAAAAACCTGTAAAACTGTCAAGTATCAAAATTACTCTCTTGAAAGAGAGGAGCGAGAGCGAAACAATAAAGGTCACCTGGAACGCAAAAAAACACTTTTCCTGTAACTACTTCCTTTTTTTTAAATGTGAAGTGCCATGGAGACGATCAAATATCTTTATCAACCGTCTCGCATTATGCTTGACAAAAAACAAGCGCACTTGCCTTTTGATCGTCGTGGTGAGCAAGTGCGCGGACAAGAAAAATAAATTGTTTGTTTAATTAACGAGTTTATTTGAACGTTTTCGGGCCAATCTCATACATATGCAATACTTGACGTATTTATTTGATTGTCTCTTTAGCTATTTGTACAACGATTTAGGGGTGTGGGCAGAGGGGGAGAAGGCGTGGCTCCCCAAACCCCCTGCACGAAGGAGGATGAACGCCGCTTTATGAAAAGTCACCCCTCACTCCCAAAAAAGTGGTTTGACTTACAGGTTTTTTTGGCACCTGGAACGCTTTCCTGCAAAAAAACCTGCAAATCGTGAATATCGTGAGCACCTGGAACGCAACTAATATTAGCACATTAAAATCAAATACTTTCCTCTGCTTACCAATTTTTGCCGTTGGTCGCATAGTTCGTTGAACTTGACTAAACAAAGTGCCGAAAATATAAGTGCATTTTTTCCACATAAACCATATGTACATACGGCAGCACATATAAGCTTTTTTTACCAGTTGCATTTTCTGCAACTATTCGCTTAATAGCTAAGAGAGGCGCTGTTGTTCATCGGACAATACAGTCCACATATACCAAACGCACTCTAACTTATTTCATATCTTTCCACCTCGCTTTTCTCTGCTGCACTCACCAAGCTAAGAGAACGTAAGTCAAAGCCCGCTCTCCGACTTGAATACGTTCGGTACCAAGAACTCACCTCAGCGGTGAGCGGCTCTTTACGTATTATCATATCCACTTGTGCATTCCCGCACACATACATTCATACGCACTGTAATCAAAACAAACTTTCTGTTTTTTCGTACTTCTTCACTCACCACTGCGGTGACAAAGCGTAGCTTAGCCATAGCTTCGGCTTCATATGTAAATATTTGCACATACTTACATACACTATAATCAAAACAAACTCTGTTGTTTTCGGGTCTTAACTCACCACTGCTGTGACAAAGCATAGCTTAGCCATATACTATAGCTACAGCTATACCATATATTTGTACATACATACGTACGTACATTTTTACATTGCACATATTCTGCACATTTGTACATACGTGCTAACAAAGAATAGTATCACTCGAATACTATCCATAACATAATGAGTTCAAGATATTTAGATACATGCAACCCAGTAGGGAAAACTTACAAATTGCATTTGCCAATACTTTTTCAGTATTTACATAATTATTTATATCACATTAAATATTTACACATACGTATATTTCACCACGTATATAACAGTGAAAAGTGTTTGTGATTTTTTTCTCTTACTGAAAATTTTCAAATCCATATTCCGCGGATTTAATTGGGACGCTCCATTTACCACGTTATAAAAAGTGCTGAACCAAAAATTAAAGCAAATATATTTAATAAAATTTCCTTTATAGGCTAGTCCGATCTGATTATCTCTAGTGCAAATAAAATAAGTTTATTCCACTATTACAGCCCAACGTTTCGCTAAACATATTAGCATCATCACGGGCGCGTTGTTTATTTTTGTCTATTACAGCCATAAATACAAAATATAAAAGGAACATTAAAAGCAGAAAAACACAAACAAGAACATACATACATACACAAGAATGATAGAATACAAGATTGCGCCGTCCTGGGCGTTGACATTTGTGTACCACAAGTAAACAAAGAATAGAGCGAAAAGAAGAACGAGTTAAAACTTCCAAAGCAGTTCACTTTACAGCGAAAAACGTGTTTTAATTTTGCTAAACGCGAATATATTGCATTTTTCACCTAATCTATTAGAGAATAGGTAACATTTTAGTGCACTCCATTGCTTTGCAATTGAGGCTGCTTCAGCAAACGTTTTAGTGCACTCCATTGCTTTGCAATTAAGACTGCGGCAGCATCTCCGCGGGATTGATTAGTTAACTTGCTAATGGAGGCTGCTTGGAGCAGAAGCAAAATCATTGTGAGGAAATTCTGTTAATGTAATAATAAAGAAACATTTCGGGAACGGCTTTGCCGTGCCCTATGTACACAAAATGCAGCGATTCGTCCCAGCGCTACACTTGCATCTACGCATCTTGCATCTTGAAGGCTGTCGCAATTTATCACACAGCACTTCATTTTATTAGTTTTTACGCAGTCTTCAACTCAAAAATCACTCTTAAATTGCAAATTAACACAATTTAAACTGGTTTTTCACATATAATTAAATTTCTATTTCGCTGATTTGTAAACAAAGGTTTGTTTACAAGTTACCACAACTGTCAAAATCGGCAAAACCAAAGTAGCGGTACCACTAACGGCGCCACCTCTGTTCGCTGCACCGTGATACATACATGTATGTATTCACATATACATATAGTTTGATGACAATAATATATGTAAACAAACAATTCTAACTCGATACAAGACAATACTCACAGATTAACACTTAAACATTTTAAAAACTTAATTGCTAAGAATCCAATACCAGCTTGTGTGGTAGTTTAGTCAGGACTGAAAACGTTTTAAATTAATTTTGTAAACATAAAATATAAGCTGCGGCAATGTCATATTTTCTCCATTATTCTTAGACTCTCCAGCGTGTACCTAGTTATTCCCCCTTTCTCTTGGTCTATTATTTTTGTGTTTTTAAAATCAGCTGTGTGTCCACGGCTTACTATGTGTTGTGCTAGTGCTGTGTTTGTTTTTCGTTTTTTTTATATCTGCTTCGTGTTCTGCTAGCCGGGTACCTAGAGCTCGCTTGGTTGTTCCAATGTACCCCTTGTCACAGGCTTCACTTTCGTTGCCTTTACATCGTATTTCATACACAACATTGCTTTTCTGTTGGGAGTCAATTGGGCTTTTTGTTTTTGTATAAACTGAGGATAAGGTGGAGTTTGATTTATATGCAAAAGTTATGTTTCGGGCTTTGGCTAGTTGGCTAGTTTTCGCTTAACTTAGGTATGTAGGTAACGCTGTGATATTGTTTTGCTGTATTTGTTGCTTTTAAGATTTCTGTTTTATTTCGGTGACTATCTATTTGCATTAATTTTTGTTTTAATAGTTCGCGTACTAAGTAGTCGCGGTAGTTGTTGGTTTTCAAAATTTTCCTTATTTTTTCTATGTTAGTT